CGCGCTCTTCCACTAGCTTGTATGCTGTTATCCAGAAGACGCGGAGGCGTTGACCAAGTCGGCGTGGATCCGCCATCTTACGTTTATTGGTTCTGAGGAAGTTGGACGCAAGGTACGAAAATTTCGGGGCTCAGGAGAGGGCTGGGGCCCTGATCCAGGAGTTGGTTTTAGGTCGTTCTTGCGGCCGCCGAACAGCTCACTCCGGTCACTTTGGAACTTGGCGGCAAGGATCCTGCTATTGTCATGCCCTCGACAGATATCAAGCAGTACGAGAGTGTCTGGATGCGCGGTCTCTTGTACGTACAGCTTCAGTCGATCAATGAGATGAGCCTGACGAAGTGGTCTGCAGCCAAAACGCGGGTCAGAATTGTATCGGCATCGAACGTCTCATCGTGCACTCCTCGCAATACGACGAAGTCTACGCGAACATTGTCGAGCGCACCAAACAGCTCCGGCTCGGCTCGGCACTCTCGCAGCCCCAGGATGGCTTCGTCCCGACGGTGGACTGCGGTGCCATGATAAACCATGAACGATTCCAGGACCTCGAGCGCGTACTCGAGGCTGCCGAGAACCATGGCGCTATTGTTGACGTCGGCGGCAAACGCTGGAAACACCCGTACCTCGAACACGGAGCGTACTTTAGCCCTACCGTCGTCGGAAATGTTGACCCACAGTCTGAGCTTGCTCAGAGGGAAAGTGAGTGTTGGCCAATGTCCGTTTCGGTATGATAATGTGCGCATCTAGTGTTTGCCCCTATTGCTGCCATCATGAAGTACGACACCCTGGAAGAAGCCATTGAAATCGCGAACGGTACGCGGTATGGACTCGGTGCGAGTGTATTTGGACCAGATCAGGAGAAATGTGTCGAGCTCGTTGCAAAACACCTCCATTGCGGCATGGTGTCCATTAATGACTTCGCTGTGTTCTACGTACGTCGGCGCACATCTTCCGCGGGTGGTTTTGGCTAACACTTCTTCATAGCTAAAGTAAGCGTAACATGCATGGTATGACGCGCGTGGTGGTTTGTGCTAACGTCCATTCCTCAGCCAGGATCTTCCGTTTGGCGGCGTGAAGATGAGCGGCTATGGGCGGTTTGGTGGGTCTGGCGTGTTGTCTAGTCGACAATTGCTCACATGATATTCCAGGCGGACCTGAGGGCCTCCGCGCGCTCACGAGCACAAAGGTCATTGTCGTCGACCGCTGGCCATGGCTCATCCAGACCAGCATTCCCAAGCCTCTAGACTACCCTATTAGATCGATTGCCCTGAGCTGGTACGCACCTCAACCATCTTCACACCGAAGCAGGTGTCTGACTGAACCCTACAGGCAATTCGTGAGCGGACTTATTGGATTCTTCTACGCAGAGGGCTGGCGTACCCGACTCGAGTCCTTGATGGAACTCATTGACGCAGCGAGGAAATGAACTGTCTTCATAGTTGTGTAGGGATATGACGACGTCGTCGCTGAGTGCAGTGCTATATCTACGCCGATTTGCTTGCAGCACTCTTTTTGTTGCTGCTACCTAGTTTCCATTGCGTGAGGGCCAGTCATTTTCGGTAGTTTGGCCGTTGTGCGGGAAAGGCTGGACCTTTCGGGAACCTGAGAAGACCTCCGGGTGCGCTTTCTGACAAAGGCACTGCCGAGCCTTGTTTTACATCTCTGTTGTTATGTTCCGCTTGTGGTGTCCTCTAGCAGCTGAGGTCCCAGCGCTTATGAGGCAGTCGTATGGTCGGAGGCTTCGTTGCTCGTGGTTCCTCTGTGGCCTGATTTGAGGTCTCTGATAGCGTCATGCATTCACTTTTGATTGTCTCTGAGACAGCAAGGTTTGCTCACGGTGACCTCCGTTGGCCTCAGCAAGGCCTTGACTCGAACGTGTGTATCCCGTCTCGTCTCTCAAAGCTGCTGAACAGTCCACAAGCTTATCTGCAGTGCACGACATATTGTGTGGAATATGGTCTGAAGCCAAGATGGTCGGTTCCGCGCGCGGGCCATTAAGAAGCACGTTGCCAACGTCCTCCCCGACCATCGATAGCTAGTCCAATCATCACCCGCGAAATGTCCAGCGCCGCATGCTCGCGCCGCCTGCCAGTGTCTTGTGCTACAGGACCATGCTGGACGGATGTCGATAACCTCACGAAGCTCACATGGACCGGCGACTGAGACGGCGCGCAACGTGCGTCCTCTGCTCTCAACACACAGGTTCCCTACCATTAATTATGTGCGTATATATGGAGGCCACACAGGGGGCCGACTCTCAAGCTCAAGCCTCTTTCTCCGCGAGCAAACGTCGCCATGATTGCTGCTGCCTTTGTCCTGGGTTCCCTCGTCGGCTCCGCGCTCGCAGACTCGCTCTTCACCCCCTTCGACCTCTCGGACCTTTTCGCACGCAACGCGCAGATCAGCTCAGGCTGCAGCACCACCGGTTCCGCCTCATGCCACAACACCACCAAGCAGTCGGACCTGTGCTGCTTTGAGGCCCCAGGAGTAGGTCCCGAGCCTCTGCGCGCGAGAGGCTGTAGCTCATATCTCGTGTCTCCAGGGTCTTCTGCTCCAGACCCAGTTCTGGGATACTGACCCATCCACCGGCCCTAGCGACAGTTGGACCATCCACGGTCTTTGGCCAGACAAGTAAGCTCCGGACTATATACTACCTGGAGCCTGTGTGCTGACCACTACACCATAGCTGTGATGGCACCTACTCGGAGAACTGCGACTCATCTCGCGATTACACCGACATCTCCAGCGTATGCCGGGCTACGCGTTCCATTACGGTCTCACACTGACATGTTCGGTGTCGTCCTACAGCTACTCACCGCTCAGGGCGCCTCCGACACCTTGTCCTACATGCAGAAAGTACGTCGAAGAAACGTTCTCGCTCGCTTGGCAGCGTCTAACGATCTCTTTTGAAGTACTGGGTAGATATCAACGGAAAGGACGAAACATTCTGGGAGGTAAGCGTCTATTCACCATTGTGTATCGAGCATTTACTAATATTGTAACGTAGCACGAGTGGAGCACGCATGGAACATGCTACAGCACCTTGAATACGGCCTGCCTCCCCAGCGGTAGCCCCAAGGGTGCGGAGGCCGTCGCATTCTTCAACACCGTAGTCGGCCTTTTCAAGGTACGCAAATCAGGTTCTCTTCGATGAGATACGTGATATTAATGGCGTTGCTTCTAGACCTTGCCTACATACGAGTGGCTCGCCGCTGCTGGCATCACCCCTTCTAGCAGCAAGACCTACACTCTTTCAGCTATCACTTCTGCGCTGAAATCCGCGTCTGGAGTGAGTATTCAGCCATTCCTTCGTCGTTCTGTTGTACTCATGAAACTATGCAGGTTACGCCCGCGCTGGACTGTTCAAGTGGCGCTCTCAACCAGATCAGCTATTACTTCAACCTGAAGGGTTCACTGATTGACGGCGACTTTGTCGCTATCGACGCTCCAAAGAAGGGATCTTGCGCGTCAACTGGACTCAAGTACCCGCTCAAGACGGGTTCAAGCAGCGGCAGTGGCACTCCCACCGTACCTATCCCTCACTAGTCTCCAACTATCATCTAATGGATGTCTCTAGAGCTCTGGTTCTACTCCCACCCCAACTGGCCTCCCCAGCAAGGCGCACCTCCAGGCCAGCACGACCGGCAGCTTGCTCACCGCCGGTACATGGTCCACGCAGACCGCCGCGACGTACACCATCTCTGGAAGCGCCTCAAGCTTCACAATGTCGACTTCCAAGGGCAACTGCGGCGTCTCGAGCGGATCGCTCACCTGCGGTAGCGGCGTCACCGCCTCGACGTTCTCTGCGGTTCGTTTGATTTCTTCCTCGCACAAGTTTGCCATGTTTGACGTGCTCTGCAGGTCTCCTCGAGCGGAAGCTTGCTGCTTGCATACAGCGGCTCCACTTCGTGGACCAGCGATGCGTCACCCAGCGGCACGACTCAAGAGACCGTGTATACCGGCACGAGCCATTCTGTCGACTACACGATTGCAATCGTCTCTGCATGATCGTCCAGGTTGCCTTATATATAACCACGAAAGCATGTACTGGGCAGGGTAGCTTAAAAATGATCTATCATGACATTGACGTTTGTATTCGAGTGGTGCTTAAAGCGTGACAAATCCCAGGGCGGCCATTGTATCTTCGGTCCGAGGGATTTAGTCATAGTATACAAGAGTCTACCGTTCATCAGCCTTGCATTAGTCGTCGTCCGTCTCACTCACGACAATGCCGCCACCCATTGACCACCCCGCTTTACACCTCCATCTACTCCCCAGGCTCTTCGAGGTCGTGAAGCTCGAACCAGACGAGCCTGTACCTGCGGAGCATGTGCAGGCACTAATCGACCCTGCCGCCGCCAAGGGCAGCTTCATCTCCGTCACTCGCACGGACGAGGAAATCTCCATCGTGCGCCAGTCCGACGAGCCGGACGCAAAATGGCGCTGCATCAAGATCGCAGGGCCCATGGAGTTCGGTGTGCTCGTGTCGCTTTGCGTAGAGGCAGTACGTGCTCACCAGTATTGCCGCGGGCGTACAGACCTCACTGGCGTCGTCTGCAACTTCACCGCCCCTCTCAAGCACGCTGGCATCGGCGTTTTCGCGGTCTCCACATGGTATGTTGCCACGGTACATCTCGCTGTTCGGGTAGTCATAGCATGTCGGTCGCAGGAACACAGACTACGTGCTGGTGCCGAAGGAATTCGCTGCGAAGGCGGTAGAGGCGTTGAAACAAGATGGTTGGACGTTCATTTCGGGGGCATGATGGCGACTTGCAAGAGCTTGCCAAAGTTCGTTCTGTGGTCTACTTTGGTGTGACCATTTTGAAGCATATTCACGAAATGAGTACATACATCTAGAAATGCGCGATAGATACCAGTACCTGCGCCTACCACTTGCTTTTCCAGCACGTCTCTAGATGTGTGTACCGAACTTGGAGTGGAGCTCCCATATTAACGAAGGAGAAAATAAACGTTCACTAACTCCTTAGCCGTGTGCCTGATGAGGGGCCATGGCGCAACGGTAGCGCGTCTGATTCCAGCCAGGGTGCAAATCCGCGGCTCCAGAAGGTTGAGTGTTCAAGTCACTCTGGCCTCATTTTGCATGCCAGGGGTGAAATTTCAACTGTCATCAAGCTATGTACTGTACAGAGTCAGGAGTCTTAGGAGTATACTTTACCCCACCTCTACATACCTCATGATAGCATTCCATGCTATTCCAATGA